AGCAAAAACCTCTCTAAAAAACAAAAGAAAACAAAAAAACATAATTTACCGGGACCAGCAGGTGGCATGGTAGTTAAGGTGCTGGACACTCCCACATAGCCAACCGTGGTTCAAGTCCTGGACCTGGTGGCTTGCTTTCTCACTTTCCCTCTCTCTCTGTGTGACTCTCTCTGGTCAAATTAGAATGAATGAATAAATAAGTTTATCTCTTAAAAAAAAAAACCACACACACAATTTACCACATGGTAATTAAAGCATGGTCTTGTTTTCATCATGCATGTGGATTCTATAGTAGAAAACACCCAGGTACTCAGTTCTGATTATTCTAAGTGTGATTCTTCGGCTCCCCTAATGACTAGCTCTGGAACTCAGAAAAGATTCTAAACTTTTCTGAAGCTCAGTTTCTCCTTCACATAGCTGAAAAATTTAACTTGTGCCCAGCACACAAAATGCTTAACAAGGAGTAGTTATCATACACGGAGAAACCCGGAAAGGCACAGGGCAAAGGCACAGGGCAAAGGCACACATCACTAGCAGTGATGGTGGCATTCTGGAGAACTTCTGTCTTTGCTTATTTAAAGCCTTGCCTCCCACAATTACCTCTTGCTATCAGGTGATTCCTAGTCTGCAGACCCACAAGCAGGACTAAGAGATGAGAGGTGTTAGATTCGTAAAATCCAGGCTAATGAGGACTCTCATGCAGTTTGACTGCTCACACATCTTGCAGCACCTTCCTACCAAAACCCAGGTGGAGACAACTCAGGAAAAAACAGCAGCCGCCCATCTCCTTCACAGCCAGAGGCGGGCTAGAGACAGTTCCTCAATATCATGGCCTGGGCTGCCCACTTCCACTCACCAAGGCCCATGGAACACAAAGGTTGTCAAAGTCTTTTCTGGTTTCATCCAGAACCAAAATGCACACACACAAGCAATGCACATGGGCCAGACTCCATGGTTGGCCAGTCTTCTGGAAAAGCCCTTGGGTCAATAGATGAGAACACTTAGGGCAAGAAGGGTGAGGTGCTTCTCCAAAGCCACATTGATACTGAAGCGGCAGCCTCAGCCAGGGCATGTGGCTCCACCACTGGCCCTACTAAGCACAAGCACCTCCATGGAGATGACATGTGCCATTACTTGTGCTCCCATGGCTTCCTGGTGGTCCTCTGTCCAACACACATGCTGAAGGCTATTCATGTGCTTATTTACCTTGACATGATAACAAGCCAGCATCCAGCACCGTCTGTGGATAGTCACACTCTCACACTTGCTAAGCCCATGAATGGGGGGACTCCACTGAATAATTCTCAAAATACAGCCAGGGGCCAGCCTGTGCCCGTGCCCATGCCCTGTTGGATATGGGAGCTAGATCCCTGATGGCCTGTGGTGCAGTTTGAGTACCATCCCCAGCGGCTTGAAAAACAAGCTAGGCATGTGTGTATGTATGCCCCAGTCCCGAGGGAAGGAACTGCAGTATGACTACACCCCAGTGCGAGGTGCTTTCTCTCTCTCTCTCTCTCTCTGTCACTCTGGCAAACACATAAGCCCTCTGGAAGTGAAAATAATTGTAACATAAAGCAAAATATAGCCAAACCTGACCCAGCAAAGAGGAAAAGACCTCTCTTTCATTCTTATACACAAGTGGGTGTGCGCATCCTTAAAAGGATGCCCACAAAAGTTTGGATAGGCACATTAACAGGGATATGAAGAAGAAAACAAAAGATTAGCCTATAATAGGAATGAGCATATTTACTCACTACCTAGGGCACACATATGTGTGGACAGATTTGAGAGGTACTCTTCGAAGAGAAAGCACTTAAAAAACTGGGGCAGGGCGGCAGCACAGCAGGAGGGTCCCACTGTGGTAGCTGAGGCCACATGGAAACAGAACGGCAAGATGCTAGATGATCAGATGCCAGCAGTCCACTGCCAATGGTTATGAGGAGAAAAGGGAATGCAATGTGTGGAGAGGGAGATAATGTACCACAGGCGTGGGACACTAGTTCTCCAACAGTAAAGAAGTTGAACCAGCTCCTATGTACCAGAGTAGGGAACAGGTTAAACCAATGATGGGCCCCTCAGTTTAGGGAATGCTGCACAACTGTTAGGAGTGTGGCAGGTTTGCAGGAGTCATCTAGAAAAGTCACTAACATGTACCTGATACGGCACAGAAGGCCAACCAAAACCCCACCAGAACTTACAAGAGAAATGTTATGTGTGCATGTCAAGAATTACCCGGCCAGCAGGTGGAGTAGCAGCTAAGGCGCTGGACTCGAACGTGGCTAACTACAGTTCAAGTCCCAGACCAGGTGGCTTGAACCTCACACTGAGAATATGTACATGAGTGTGCAAAACCCCAAGGAGAGAATGGAGAAGAGACTGCAGTGTGGTCATTCTCCCTGAGGGGAGGGTGATTTCTGGCTTTCTGTCTGTCTCTCTGGCAAGTGCATGTGCCCTGTAGCAAAAATTCCCCCACAGAAGCATCCTGGTCGGTACCTACAGCCTTTTCTGGGAACCTTACCACAGGAGAGCTCATCTGACATGTCTCAAGTCTCCGAAGGTTATTCTACAGGGATGAGGGGGACTCGTTTATAATTTCACAATAAACAGGTATGACTTCCATAACTAGAAAAAGGACATTTCTCGCAGCCACAGCTATACTGCATGGATATATAGTTGGGATACCATTTCCATGGCTGCTATCACACAGAAAAGAGAGGCTCCTCCAACACCACAGCCACCATCATGTGACCTGACCTCAGACTAGAGAAGAGTATATCTTGCAGGCAAAATTCTAGAAATGACTGAACAACCTGTCTGTGGACCACTGACAAATCCACAGATTCCCAGAATCACCACTTCATTTTCTGAGAAGAAGTTGCACAAGACCAACCTCGCGACTTTTTTGGATCAGGCTAGTAGACAGGGCCACAGGAGGACACCGCGGGCCCAGCCAGGCAGCTGACACACAGCTCCCACCCTTGTGACAGCAGAGCAGAGGTATGACGTAGTGGCTGCCCAGACAACCTGGTGAAGAAGTCTACTGGTATAGCCACTCGTCTTATCTGGTTCAGGTATACCCTTTGTGCCGTCAAAAGGAAGGTAACAGGAAAGTGGGGTAGACTGCACACGACAGGAAGCAGGCCATGACCAGAAAGCGGATCACAACAGCAGGCCCCAGTTTAAGGCCACTCTCCAGACATCACCGTAGGAACACGTGGGGTATAGAGCATAAATGAGGACTGCCTTCATTTTGGTTAGAAAGGAAACTCCCAACTGTTGTGCATTCTGACCGTGGAAGTTATTGCCTGGTATACTTCATTGATCAAAAAAATTAAAAAAAAAAAAAAACCTTGTAAAGCCAGACACCAAAAACAGTGGATTTTACCAGTTATCTATTAAAAAGCATACCCAGCACACACTGCCAACCTCAGCATCGGGCCGAGGAGAGACTGTGAGACTGGGCAGTGTTGTGCTAAAGATCCACCCACAGACCTCCAGGAGGTAAAGCAAGGCAAGACTGACAGGACTTAGTCTCAGAAGCCAGCCATATCCTGAACCCTTTCTCTTTCCTGAAAGCAGCCAAGCTGTGTTTCCTAACATGTGGCTGGAAACCTAAGTCTGGCCACTTCCTCATTGTGGAAACCAGAGTGCTCGCCTGCCTGCGGACCTCTAGCTTCTCAACCACCCTGCGCTTGAGGACCAGCAGCAACTCCAGGGATATACCTGACCCTTCTCAGCCTTCTTACTTCCGACTTTCCGAAGTCTGAGGATGGTAAGAATACAGATTACACCTGTGGTGAATGCATTACCTTGAGACAATATGTGCCTTTTCCAGCTGCACCTACCACCCTTTCCAACTCAGACCCAGAGGGACCAAGATTATCTGAGCAACTGAGATATTTTCCTGAAAGGCTGAAACCCACAAAGGTACTCATCCCAATGCCTAGTGAAGCAGAGTGTGCTCTGTGACTAGAGAGCAGTTATCCCTGAGTGTCCAGGCACAAAACCAAGTGGGGAATTACACTCCACAAGCCCAGCCTGTGAACCCTTACACTCACTCAGTCTGAGTAAGCCACAGTTAATGGGCTGAAGACTCATCCCCATGTGGTGGTCTGAACGGGTGGGGCCCTTGGGGAGTGAGCAGGTCATGAGTTCTCCCCTCGCAAACAGGCTGAGGACCC